AAGTATTACAGGCTGAAGGAGGATACAGAGCTGGGGAGAATGAAGCCATGAAGATGAACGGTGAGAGTTTTATGTTGAAGCTTTGTGCTGTTGGTAATATTGGACAATTCAGATACCAGAATGAAACTTGGCTTAATTTGCAATTGTTTACCATGATTGTTTGTCTCTGAGCATGTTCACATGAAGATGCCAAGATTCCTTGAACACAGAACCTAAGTTTATTACATGTATGAGAAAAAAAATGTAAAATGCACTTTGCAAAGACCTTAACATAAACCGCACCAGCAAAGATTCAATTTTTTTCCCCTGCAGTATCCTTTTTAGATTTTAGATACTCAATCCCAGATAAATGTCACTTCTATCTTAATTCTTTAATTTCTCTCTGAACTTTCTTTCTCGGTTTTTCTACTTGAACCACAGAAACGGTTTTGAGACATATTTCTTATTCTGCTAGTGTGAAACTATTCTCATGAAGTGAAAATCTGATTCTTCTGCTGGTTTGAATCTGAAATCTGATTCTTCTGAACTGAACTTGACTACTCATACCTCATAATTGTTTTCTTTTTGTGTCATGAACTCAGGAATGTAAACACTTCATCAATTAATGCCACAGGTATTTGGCTTGGCGCTTACTATGTAACACGCACGAAATAATGTATTTAGGTCATCTATTCAAATGACTCTCAGACCTGTTTTTAGAAAAGAAGTTAACTTCACAGAATTGAAATCAAAACCCATCTGCCTCTATTTCTATATTAAAAATCCTTATTCAGAAGTGAATGTAGTACACTTTTTCCGCAATTGGCAGGCTGAAAGCCAATATAAGTAATTTCCCACAAGGCATTGCATGAACTGGAGCTGGTACAAATTGGAATACGAACAATAGAGTTAACGACAACTCACATTGACAAATGATGGGGGTTTCAGCCAAAGAGCATAGGAATAATCAAATTTGAAGGTAACAAAAGTCTGATTCAATGTTTCTGTGGCAGATGATCCCCAGTATGGCGAGATTGTCTTATGAGGAAAGGTTAAAAGATTGGGGAGGTACTCATTAGAATTAGATGAATGAGAAGTGATCTCATTGAAACATATGAGGTTCTTAAGGGGCTTGACAAGATAAATTCTGAAAGGATGTTTCCCCTCTTGGGAGAGTCTAGCACCAGAGGGCATAATGTCAGAATTAAGGGTCAGCCATTTAAGACTGACGAGGAGGAATTTCTTCTCTGAGGGTTGAGTGTTTTGGAATTCCTTGCTACAGAGAGCTGTAGGACAGAGTCATTGTGTGTATTTGAGGCTTAGATAGATATTTTTGATCAGTAGGGGAATCCGGTATTAAGGGGAAAGGGCAGGAAAGTAGATGTGGCGAGTTTGGATCAGCCACTATCCCCTCGAATGATGGAGCAGACTCCAGGGGCCGAACAGCCTACTTCTGCTCCTATTTCTTATGGCCTTTGGTCTTATGATCTGAAACAGTTATAGAGACGGGTGACAGCATAGAAATCGAAGTTGTTATAACGCAACATTGGTTCAATCGTTTAGATTTTTGGCCCCGCCTGTCTAAAGGCAATGTGAGCGTAAAAACAGTTGTTTTTCTTTCCCTTTCTTTAGCTTCTGAACACTAAGGTGTGAGACTTTGGTGCTGAACTCAGTGCAGACTGAAGCTAGTATTATTTGTAGTTTAGTATCATACAAGGCAACATATTCTCTGTTCTGAAGAGTTGAACAAGGATGTAAACAGTGTCACTGGATTGGAGGTACCTGCAACACGACGTATCTGACAGTGAAAGCTCAAAACCAGTTGACCATTGATTATAGACTTCATTATCATTTAAACCCTTAACCAGACACGCCTGTAGTTCCAAGCACTGTTAATGATTGACTACTCAAGCTGACTTCATAATCACATTTGGAGATTTGCTTCAACAGAAAGGAGGTGGCTTAATTCAAAAGTAAACTAACTTTAACCAAGATTCCATTTTCTTAGCAATTTAGTTTGCTTGGAATTTAATATGCTAAGACTGCTCGTGGTTTAGGACTTAATAAGAATAAAAGTTCCATTTATTACCTAATTCTACCATCATGTCCTGATTACCTCATATTGAACAGAAACTGATGCATTCATTAATGGTCACAGCAAAACATATTGGTGTTCTTAGCAACCAAATCCTTTATTGCTGTGTGGTTTGATATGTATGATTTAGTAGTCTGACAATTCTGTTGGAACCAACTAAATTGATGTTTCCTCTTTGTGTTTACATTTAGTTTAGTCTTCCTTCTTTCTTTATCACCACTAACGCTTATACTTCTAGCCAAAATAAAGATATAAAACTGCCAATATAATTGTCTAGGATATATTTTAAAATAGATATAGAGTCATACAACATGGAAACAGACCCTTTGGTTTAGGTAGTCCACGCCAACCATGCACCCAAGCTAAACTAGTCCCACTTGCCTGCATTTGGCCCACATCCCTCCAAACCTTTCTTATTCATGTACTTATCCAAATGTTATAACTTTACCTACATCCACCACTTCCTCTGGCAGTTCATTCCACACATGGACCACTCTGTGTGAAAAAAAGTTGCTCCTCATGTCCTTTTTAAAACTTTGTCCTCTCGTCTTAAAAATATGTCCCCCAGTTGTGTGTGGGGGTGTGGGGGACCCTTGCTATTCACCTTATCTGTGCCCCTCATGATTTTATGAGCCTCTGTAAGGTCACCCCTCATGATTTTATAAGCCTCTATAAAGTCACCCCTCAACCTCCTTCACACCAGTGAAAAATGTGCCAGCCTATCTAGCCTATTTTTAAAACTTTGAAAAAAAAGGACTGCTAAAACACCTTTTAGACTGATTCTCAATTCATGGAAATGAGGAATGCTACACATGGTACTTCAGATATCCAGGAAAGACGTCCTACTACGTTCTGGATAGCAAGAACTGTCGCATGCCAATGATAATACATCAAATTAAATCTTTGGTACAGTATCTAAAACTCGTTGGATTTTGTTTGCCCGCAGTTTTTAATTTTTAATGCCTTGATCTCTTAGTCGTGTGTGACATCGGGGTTACAGCATGTGTCAGCTTTCTTCAGTAACTTGAACACTCTTAGGTAAGTCAACTAGATTACACGTCAATTCCCAATACCGTATGACAGACAGGACTTGGAATATTGGTGAATATTTTAACGTTTTATTTTTAAATTTGTTGTTAATGGGTGTAGGTGTAGTGAGATGTCTAAATGTCTTTCAGTAACTATACAATTCATACTTTCTGTTGATTTTCAACAATTTAGGATGTGTAGCGTTAAGTACGTTCAGATGTTGGCACTTTGAATTCTTTTAAATCCAATTTCTCTCCCCTTCTAACTCCACCCACTCCCACCACCAACACTGCTCAACCTACATTAATATTTCTCCAGTCAGGGGCAGTCATAAGCCACTTCTGGTATGAGATCTAGCACATATTCATAAGTCTCCCAGATCTTTCCAATGCTCCACTACTAATGGTTGTATAATGTATTGTCTACTGGATTAAAATATTCCCTCAAGGAAATGCAGCAAATACAGCAGTCATCAGTAATACTGTTCTCTGATGGCATCTAAATACTCCCTCACCCAACTAGCCTGGTGGGAGAAGTCAATATCCCATCAAAAGGGCAGGTTAACACATCAGGGAGCTCATTCCACCTGGTTTCATTTTGTATCTTCTCAAATGATTTCTGCTCTGTCTACAGCTCTAAATGAACTTTATTCTCGACTGAGATTTGATGAGTCCATTGTAACATTTTCTATGTTGAAGAAGAAACCGTATTAAATCATTTTTTATTAAGCTACAAATCTAACAGTCTGTACTGCAATAGAGCCAAGTATGTACATAAATTGAGGGCACAGAATGTTCTTTCAGTGCTGTAGTAGGTACAAGCCTGTAATATATCATGTTTTGCAGAGTTGGAATTGTACTTTTGCAGTTTAGAGGAGTTTAGAACAATTTTTTTGTGTGTGGTGTTACAAGTGCAAATGTTGAATATATAGGCCTGTCACTTTTTTCTGCTTTAGATTGTGGGTGTACTGTAATTGGAATTCTACAGTGCGCATGTTTAACATTTAAATTTACACATTTCATATTCTAACAAAAAATGCAACCATTTTAAATGCCAAGTGGGCTAATCTTTGCAGGTATAAATTCACAAATATATCTGAAATAATTTTAACCATTTCAGTTCAATTTAAATGGGAACAAGGAAAGGACACTGGATTTAAACCAGTCTGTTGCACTTTTTACATAAATAAAGTTCATTTTAGCCAAATATTCAAACATATCAGTCAATGAGGCTTTCATTCCTGCTGTGAAGTTACATAATTGTCTGTGAAATTCATTTTTATGATCTACTCTTTTTTTCTCCTTTCCTGGGCATGTATTATGTAACTCTTACCATTTTGGTTGAATAAAAATTTTCTGTCTTCCCACATGACCTATACTTATTAACTTTAGTGTCTTGGCATTTGAAGAACCCTCATTAGTTTTCTTAATTCCATTCATAACAAAATAAACTTAAAAGTTTCCCCGTTTCCAAAACAAAGGAGCTTTCACAATGTTCAGCTTAAATATTTGCTGTACTAAAAATCTTGATAGTGGAAATGTCTTGGCCAGTTCTGTATTCTGGTGATGCAAAAAGTATCCTTGTGTCAGTTAGGTGAAATATATGCAGTACTGCATAAGCATCTGATCTACACCTTATGCAAGTGCATAGCCTATCTATAAATGAATCAACTTTAACTTCCTCAAAATCAATTCACTTGAACAGAGTTTAAATTGGGTCTGCCATAATGTCAGACCTCTTATTTCATTTCTTGGATGGTGTTTCTTTTATATTGATAGACAAAATAATATTATAATAAATATTTTATTATTTTTTAAGGGTTTTTTTTGTACTTGAAATCCAAAATAAAACATTGAGAGCTACTCAAGTAAAATTTATTCCTCTCTTCTTTTTCCAGATTTTGTGAAGAATCACTTTGGAAATAAAGATCAGGAGTACTGTTTGGTGTTTAAGAGCCTAAGGGGAGTTGTTGATGATGCACTGGCTTCCAGCAGCTACTCCGAAGTGAACCTGAGCAAACTTTTCCAAGCTTTCAGTACAATCAGTAAATGAAGAAGACACTGTCACTACACTTTTTTGAAGCTAGATCAGCTATGTTGGTGTGGCAGAAGATTAACAAAATGGTTAATGTAAATGTTTTTTGGGATTTCTGCACTTGCTTGTAGCAAGAGCACTCTTTATATTCGATACACAAAAATGTGAATAGCCCTGGAATTTGACCCAGGTAATGTGGAGGAGGAAGTTTGAAGAACAAACGTATTAGAAGAGGGCTGAACAATGTTAGTACATAGACTTGTTAATGTTTTTGTTGTCATCTACTTTTCTATCAAAACATCAATTAAACTTCTAATAGGATGAAAGCAGTTTATTATAAACAGGCTGGGGGAAGAAGTGTTCAGATTGATGGTAGTCTTTTTTAAAAGAGTGATCTGTGGAGTCAGTGGTCTAAGAAATGAGAATGGTTGGGATCACTGTGGAGTACACTTACTGGAGCGTGGAACAATGGGTCTCATTTACCAAAATCTGAACAATCTATTGAAGTGACTGAAGTACATTGGATTGGAGAACTAACAGACAAACACAACCAGTTTTTAAATAGGCAGCTGGCAATGAATGAAGCTAGTACAGTCATGTCTGGCCAAGTCACTTCAAACTTCAGTGCTGTCCAAGATTCCTAAATATCCATTGTGTCTTTTTTAAAAAAAGATTATAGCCATCGTATTTTATATAAGAAAGTTTTTTTTTTAAAGTGTACAATTCTGGCATTTTTCGAATAAAGTTTACTATACATTGTTTCTGAAATGGTTTGTCACATTGAGAATGTTTGAATACATGATCATCTTTAATTAATTCTGTTTGTAAATCTAATCTGAAGTATTATAAACAGCTAACATTTTTGTATGGTTTTCTGATATTTGATAATTACTGCTACAAGCGAAAAGGCTTTACTTGCGGTGAGTGTGGTCAGAATCTGCAAGTCATCTAAAAATGCAGAGTCCATTCGCTCTTCAAAAGAGAATTAGGTAGGTGGTGGTGAGAGGAGGAGAGAAAAAAATGTATTGAAAAGGTATGAGAGGAAGAAGTAGACTGGGATTTAACTAAACTCCTGGGGGTAGAAAACAGCAAACCAGATTTGTTCTAAATTACCTTTTTAAATATTAATTTGTGTGATGTCAGCATCACTAGCAAGCTCCACATTACTTGCCCCATTCGTTAATAGCTCTATAAGTGTGGTAAGGACCCTTCCTGAACCATTGCATTTCTGTCATGAAAATGTTCCTATTCTATTGTCACACTGTTGGGAATTCAGGGATATGGAGCCAGCAATTTTGAAGGGATAATAATATATTTTCAAGTCAGGATGGTGTGTCCTTGAAGTAATAGTGTTTCTATATGTCTGATGCTATCCTTTGTCCTTCTAGCTGCTCATGGTCCAGAGCCGAAAGGTACAGGCAAAGAATCCTTTGGAGGTTGCTAAAGTGTTTCCTGTAGATGGTGAATTTATTTCTCATTTATGGGATGGCAGACAGGAGGTGCAGGACAGGTTCATCAAACTGATTCCAGGGATGGCGGACTTGTCGAATGAGAAAAGATGGAATTGACCAGCCCTGTATTCACTAGAGTTTAGAAAAATGAGAGGTAATCTCATTGAAACGTATAAAGTTCTGACCAGGTTTGACAGACTCGATGTGGGATTATGTTTCCCTTGAACGTTGGGTACAGAACAAGGGGTCACAGCTCAGGATATAGGGTCGTCCATTTTGCTCTCCGATGAAGGCAAACTTCTTCATTGACAGGATGGTGAACCTGTCGAGTTCTCTACCACAGAAGTATGTGCTGGCCAAGTCATCGACAATGCTTAAGAAAGAAATAGATTTCTAGTGGCTAAAGGTACCAAGAATGGAAGTATGACACTGAGGTAGAGGATCTGCAGTAATCATGTAGAATGGTGGAATGGATTTGATTGGCTGAATGTCTTACTGCTCTTATTTTCTATGTTTCTTAGTGGGCTGTGCTGGCTTGGCCAGCAGGTATTGCCCATCCCTAATTGCCCTTGAAAATGTAGTGATGAGTTGTCTTCTTGAACCACTGCAGTCCATTTAGTGCAAGTACATCGACAGTGTTGTTAGTAAGGGAATTCCAGGATTTTGACAGGGCAACATTAAAGGAGAAATGATGTATCTCCATATCAATAAGGAATTGATTGTTGACTTCATGAAGAAAGGAGGGAAAACACCCCCACAAATCCAGAGCAACAGAGCAGATGTTGAGAGGATGGAGCGCATCAAGTTCCTAGGAGTGACGATAACAGACAACCTGTCCTGGACTTCCCACATAAATGCAGCAGTCAAGAAGGTACAACAACACCTCTTATTCATCAGGTGGTTCAGGAAATTTGGCATGTCCATGAGGACCCTCAACAAATTTTACAGCTGCACCACAGAATGCATACTGCCTGGGTGCATTACAGCCTGGTACAGCAACTGCTCTGCCCAGGACCGTAAGAAACTACAGAAGGGCCCAGACCTCCTATCCACAGACTCCATTTACACATCTCATTGCCGCAGGTGATTTAGCGGTTTGGCTCAGAAATTGGCTAGCTGTAAGAAGACAGAGGGTGGTGGTTGATGGGAAATGTTCATCCTGGAGTTCAGTTACTAATGGTGTACCTCAAGGATCTGTTTTGGGGCCACTGCTGTTTGTCATTTTTATAAATGACCTGGATGAGGGCGTCGAAGGATGGGTTAGTAAATTTGCGGATGACACCAAAGTCGGTGGAGTTTTGGATAGTGCGAAAGGATGTTGCAGGTTACAGAGGGACATAGATAAGCTGCAGAGCTGGGCTGAGAGGTGGCAAATGGAGTTTAATGTGGAAAAGTGTGAGGTGATTAACTTTGGAAGGAGTAACAGGAATACAGAGTACTGGGCTAATGGTAAGATTCTTGGTAGTGTGGATGAGCAGAAAGATCTCGGTGTCCATGTGCGTAGATCACTGAAAGTTGCCACCCAGGTTGATAGCGTTGTTAAGAAGGCGTACAGTATGTTAGGTTTTATTGGTCGAGGGATTGAGTTTCGGAGCCATGAGGTCATGTTGCAGCTGTACAAAACTCTGGTGCGGCCGCACTTGGAGTATTGCATACAGTTCTGGTCACCGCATTATAGGAAGGATGTGGAAGCATTGGAAAGGGTGCAGAGAGATTTACCAGGATGTTGCCTGGTATGGAGGGAAGGTCTTATGAGGAAAGGCTGAGGGACTTGAGGCTGTTTTCGTTAGAGAGAAGAAGGTTAAGAGGTGACTTATTAGAGACATACAAGATGATCAGAGGATTAGATATGGTGGACAGTGGGAGCCTTTTTCCTCGGATGTGATGGCTAGCATGAGGCGACATAGCTTTAAATTGAGGGGTGATAGATATAGGACAGACGTCAGAGGTAGGTTCAGTAGTAAGGGCGTGGAATGCCCTGCCTGCAAAAGTAGTAGACTCGCCAACTTTAAGGGCATTTAAATGGTCATTGGATAAACATATGGATGATAATGGAATAGTTTAGGTTAGATGGGCTTCAGATTGGTTTCACAGGTCGGCGCAACATCGAGGGTCGAAGGGCCTGTACTGCGCTGTAATGTTCTATGAAAGGCTATCAACATTATCGAAGACCCATCCTACCACGGCAATGCTCTCCTACAATCTCTTCTGTCAGGCAGAAGCTTGAACACACTCATCAGCAGGCTCATGAACAGCTTCTTCCCTGCTGTTATTAGACTGATGAACGAACTCTCTAACTTCAAATAATGCTGACCTTGTTAATGTTGACCTCACCTAGCACGTGTCCTGTGTGGTGTAACCCATATGCCCTATTCTGTCCCAGTTTTGTTTTATACCCTATGATCTGTATGTCCTTGCTTACTATGATCTGTCTGTTCTGCTCACAAACAAAGCTTTTCACTGTACTTAGGTACACGTGACAATCAATCAAATCAATCAATGAATTAGAATGGTGAGTGGCTTAGAGAGGAACTTGCAACTGTTGATGTTCCCACAAATCTGCTGCCTTTGGCCTACAAGCTGGTAGAGTGTATGAGTTTGAAGGATCTGAAGGTGAATTTCTGCAGTGCATTTCTAGATGATACACACACACTGCTGTTACTGTGGGTTGGTAGAAAAGGCAGTGAATGTTTGAGGATGTGTTGCCAGTCAAGTGGCTTGTTTTGTCCTGAATGGTGTCTAGCATTTCAGATGTTGTTTGAACTGGCAATGAATGGTGTGTCAATCAGAAGTATTGAACTTGAGTGGCATTGGAGCTGCATTCTTCCAGGTAACTGGGCAGTTTTTAATTTATTCATTCACAGGATGAGGGCGTCATTGGCTAGGTCGCATTTATTGCCCATCCCTAATTGCCCAGAGGGCAGTTAAGAGTCAACCACATTGCTGTGGGTCTGGAGTCACATGTAGGCCAGACCAGGTAAGGATGGCAGTTTCCTTCCCAATAGATCATTTGTGAACCAGATGGGTTTTTCCAACAATCAACAATGGAGTCATGATCATCATTAGACTCTTATTCCATCACACTCCTGACTTTCTTTTGAGATGGTGAAAAATCTTTGAGGAGTTAGGAGTTGAGATGTTTGTTGTAGAATTCCCAGCTTTTGATGTTTTGTAGCCACAGTATTCCTTGGGCTTCTTCAGTTAATGTTCTGATCAATGGTGAACTCTAGCTGTTGATAGCGGGAGGAATTTGATGGTAGTAATGGCCATTGAATGTTAAGAAGTGGGAGTTAGACTCTTTCTTTTTGGATGTGACCATTGCATGGCACTTGTGTGACATGAATGTTGTTTGACAGTTATCAGTAGATAACTGAAGAGTTGCAAATAGAATGAATAGCATTGGCAAATATGCCTACTTCTGATTTTGAGGGCAGGTCATTGATGGAGATGATTGAACACACAGTACTACCCTGAGGAATTTCTGCAGTGATACGTTGAGTTGATTGGCTCTCAACAATCATAGCCATCTTCTTTTTGTGCTGGAGGTGAAGTGAAGAAAGTCTTCCTACTGATTGGTATTGACTCTCTGTTTACCAGTGTTACTAGATACCAGTTGCAGTCAAATTCTATTCAAACACCTTACCCCTGAATTCAGCTTTTTGTAGGCCTGCAGCTGGGTTGCACTGGAGATATTCAAACTGTAGAGGTTATTGATGAGAACATGTCACATTATCTGTGTTAATAGCACCTTTCATCTCTCAAATAATTGAGTGACGTGGTGCAATGGAATTGTCTTACTTGCTGGGGCAGGATATACCTGGGCAATTTTCCACTTTGTCAAATATAGTCCAGTACTATAGGTGTACTGGAATAGTTTGGCTAGGGGAGTGGCTGGTTCTGGAGTACAGTTTTCAGGACTGCTACCAGATATTGTCAGGACCTATAGCCTTTGCTGTTATTGAGTGCACTCAGCCCTTTATTGATATCTGGTTGAGCACCTCTATGTTGGGAAGAGGGAGCAATCAACCATCCAGTTAGCACTTCTGGCTGAAGATGGTTGCAAACACTTCAATGTTTTGTACTTGTTGGTCTCAGCCGTCATTGAGGAGAGAAATGTTATTGGAGCCTACTTTTCCTATTTGTTGTTTAATTGTCCATTGCCATTAAAAACTGGATAATTTAGCACTCCAGAACTTTGATCTGATCAAATGGTTGTGAGACCACTTAACACTTTATCACATGCTGCCTCTCCTTTTTAATGTGTGTAGTCCTGTATTGTAACCTCACCAGATCTCTTTTCAGGTATACAT